TAAAAATGTACACCTTCAAACTATTAGGTTAGTTACAGGTCTATATATTAACTTACCTTTAAAAATGTACACCTTCAAACTATTAGGTTAGTTACAGGTCTATACATTAACTTACCTTTAAAAATGTACACCTTCAAACTATTAGGTTAGTTACAGGTCTATACATTAACCTACCTTTAAAAATGTACACCTTCAAACTATTAGGTTAGTTACAGGTCTATACATTAACTTACCTTTAAAAATGTATATCCTCACTTATAAAGTCAATATATTAATTTCATTGTTAGCTTATGACTTGCTTTCAAAATGGTATTTAAATCATCTGTAAAAGACAGAAAATGGCGAACAAGAAGAGAAGAAACTGTTTCTCTAAATACTCTTGACTTTGAATAACATTTTAGAATAATTTTCCTCTACCAAGGAAAAACAGCTACCAATGAAATATTCAGTTTTATAAGATTCCTGATGTTCAGCTAAAAAAGGACGTAGCAAAATATTTTACTAAGCTGTAACTTTAGGCTTAACAAATCAGACTAGAGATGATACTGTTATCACTTAAATATTTTATAATATATACAAACTGAACAACATTTACTATTGGCATCACTTTGTTAATGGAAATCTACTAATTACATGTATGTATTTTCAAGTGTGATTGAACTTGTTACTCATTGGTGAGTTTAAATATATTTACATGTTATTGTGTTCTTCTCTAACCAAAGCTATCCTGCAAAACCTTAAAGAAACCTACATACAGTTCCAATGAAGTACAGCAATTGTAAAAACCTAAAATAATGATATATACATTTCCGGAGAAGTACATCAACATCAGAAACCTACAATAAACCCACATACATTTCCAGAGAAGTACATCAACATCAGAAACCTACAATAAACCTACATACAGTTCCAGTGAAGTACAACAACAGTAGAAACCTACAGTAAACCTATATATGGTTCCAGTGAAGTACATCAACATCAGAAACCTACAATAAACCCACATACATTTCCAGAGAAGTACATCAACATCAGAAACCTACAATAAACCTACATACAGTTCCA